GCCACAGAAGCAGGTGCTGGCCAGTGCTCCCCTTCAGGAAGGGCACAGCCCTTCTGGCTCTCAGTGCTCTGGTCCCCACATCATCTGTATGATGCCACACTTGGTTTGCTCAGTTCTCTTCTTCCCCTGCCCTTTGTAGACATAAGAGTTTGTGACCTCCTCTTTCATGATCAGGCCTGTACTGTCAGAGTATCTGCTGTTGTAGGAGCAATTTATCATAATACTTACGAGCATGTTGACATCAACAGACCCAGGTTTGAATCCCAGCTCACTACCAATTAGCATTAGCAGTGTGATCTCCTGCAAGCCACTTATCAGTTCCACTTTTAACGTCTGCAAAATGGGGCTGATCGTACCTCATTTGTCGTGTTGTGAGCGTTAAAAGGTGCTAATGTAGGTAAAACAGTGTATGTTCTGGCCCACAAGCAATCTGCTAATAAATCCTAGGTGATACTGTATATCATCATAATGAGACATTAGGGTACTTGGTTTGTTAGGAGGGGCATAAGAAAGAAAAAGACAAAAAGTAAGCTTAGAAATGAGAAGCATGTGTGAGTAATGGGCTTTAACAGCAGGTGCCTTGAATTCGGATATTTCTATTCAATTTACTGTTTGTGTGACTTTGGACAGGTTGCCTGACCAGTTTGGTCTTGCTTTTCTCATCTGCAAAATGAGTATAATAAAACCCAATTCAGAGGGTTCTCATAAAAATGAAATGACATAATGTTTTGTATGCCCCTGGGAGAAAGGGATGAAGTCTCAGAAGAATCCAGATTGTTCTTCCATATAAAAAATAGTAATGTGGATGATCTATAATGATGGTGTTCAGATTGAGGTATGTGGTCACGGATAGCGGCAAAGGAATTGCTTTCTAGATGTTCAGTTTCCATATGTGTGTTTTCTGAGGTTGAGCTGACTGAGAACATGCCTTTTTGCAGACACCCGGGATTCTGCCCTTTTGTGCTGTTTGCCCCAGTTCGCCGAAGGAAGGCTCACTTTCCCCATCTGAGTCCTCCTGTGGAACTGCCTCTCAGGTGCAGGACGAGTGCCTAGGTCCAAATATTTGGCTTGAACAAAATGAGGGGCTCTTTTAGACAACCCCTGAAGAGCTACTTGGCCTCTAGTCTATACATATTCCTTTTAAGGAAAAGTAGGGCTCTAGAAATGGGATATTTTGACCATTCTTGGATTTTTAAAAAAAAAAAATTGGGACATGTTGTATATAGGCAGGCAGCAAGAGCTGTACCATTTTTTTGAGACAACCCCACCATTTCCATTCTCCAACTGTCCTCAGAGAATAATATATTGTGCCTCAAGGGACGTGTAGTGAGAGCAAAGGAAAGAGCGCGTGCAAGTTAGATCTCCACGGCTGAGGGCACCTTGTCTTCTCCGGGCAGCATGCTCACAGCGGCGCCCCGGGGTGTGTCCACTTACACGTAGCAGAAGCAGAGTATTCCAGAGCTGTTGGAAAGAAGAAACAAGCTGTGAAATACTCTTTAATGAAGCACACTCTGTCTGCATTTCACCCTCCTCTGTAATGAGGCTGAGGGCTCAGTGGCACATTTCAAGGAGGAGGAGGAAGAAAGTTCTGTTTACTTCCATCAGATCCATGTTGTATCTTGATGTACGAAGAACATGCATGATAGGAAAGTTAGGGCTTTGTATTTTCTCAAACATTTATTCAGAAGACACTTTCATTAACTTCTGCAAAAAAGATGATTTGAGATTCTAAATCCATATCCTTTTTCATTACTTTCCTGTGTTTTGATTGTTGCTATGCTTCAATCTCTTCTCTAGTTTATTTCCTTCTTCCGTGTACTCTTTAGATTTAAATGAACTGTATGCAAATATGTGGTCAGTACCTTCTCTTTGTTGTTAATTTCTATCCAATTTTATTTATTCTAATAGTAAATAACTTGCCATTCAGTGAAATAAAAAGTAATTGAAAAAAAAACCAGCCACTATCCTCCCATTAAGAGACACATTTTCTAAGTTTTTAATCTTAATAATTATATTTCAAAGTTTGTGATACATTTATTTTTTTTGATAAACTAATAATAATAGTTGCCGTGACCCTGTAATACAGAAGAATTTTTTTAAGCACTTAGAATGTTTTGATCAAAGGACATCCTTTTTAAATTGCCATTTGTATGTGTATTTTTATTTCAGAGAAGTATGATGGATAATCAAGAAGTATCTTTGAAGCATAACAATATATTACATAAGAATAAAATTCTATGGGGTAAATAGACCTAGTAATTAAGTTCAAACAGTAAAAAGGAGCAGTATGAAGGTTCCTCTCTGTTAAAGAGTTCATTATTAAAGAAGGGATGATGTGTGTTTCAAAATCATTATATTATTTATATTCCATTGGATCCATGTAAAACAGCGGTGTAATAGTTTTATTCTAAAATGCTAAACCACACACCATGCCACTATTATATGTGCAGCTGCTGAGACTTAGGATAAAACAGTTCTGGTGTCCACTCGAAAATGTGCAAGGAGATGGAGGTTTTTTGGCGTTGCTCTTTGCACTAGAAATTTTACCTGTTAATTTGACATTCCCTGGATAATCCTCAGGAAGGCAAAGCATTGTGGGTCACTGAGGCAGGATTGCAGGGGCAGCTCATTATACGTGGACCATTACAATGGGGTAGATGCTTCCTTCCCATTTCCCTGGAAACTTAGTAGGAAGAAATGGGTGGTTCTAAAGCACCAACAGTTTGGGAACAATGTGATAAATTATATTCTGTTCCCTGAGGGCTTCAGACACCCAGATGGGTTGTCAAGGATCCATAGTATTTTGTCCTCCCTTTTTTCAAGAAATAAACGCTGCCCAAAAAGCTCATGCTCTTTTTTCAAATTACTCTTTCATCTACTTCCTTCCAGTAAGCACCTTCAGCTGTCATATGTTAACCTTCATTAGACATTCTAAGTCTCAAATT